TGTACTATAGCTATGTTTCCGGACTCTTCTGGTACTGTCTAGGACAATCCGTACTACTCCAGAACGGTCTAGACAGGTCTATGCCTTACTCATCTCTTACTCATCCTATGGTGCGATACGTCGCAATTCTTTCACCATCGTATTATTCATCGCACTATGGTACATGTGACTAACCACTCTTCGATTAGTCATGGACACTTCTCTGTAGTATATAAGGACTTCAGATTGCGTCCTCCCTCTTCAGTCTTTCCTTACTGACTGAAGAGTGAGTACTTCATTACCTTTACCTCTAACTTGTAGTTACTTACTTAACCTTTGTAGTCTTGCTTCGACTCTAGGTACAGTTGGTTACTGCAATATAGTCTTTCCTTACTGACTGAAGATCTTGCTTCGACTCTAGTCGGATCTAATCTTTGTCTTCACAGCCCCGAGTTTATCACGGGGTCTCTCACAGATATTTACTGCAGCGTTGCTTTGACTGGTAGATATCCATATGTTATTCTTCAGTACTAATGACCAAGTCTGACCAGGACTTAGTTTCTTCTTGTTGGGTGGAGGTAACACTGTATCTTCAGCTGTTGAGCATGTCAACGAAATTAGAGAGTAGGGACCTTAGTGGTAAGCTTGGTGTTTAGGACTTGAGATTGATTGGACTCATCTGTAGGCTGTTGCAAACAGGTCGTAACAATTTGAGCGTCCAAGAGATTGACGACTTGTTCAATGCTGGGTTGTATCTCAAGAATAAATTCCTGCGCTCCGAACCGAACGCAAATATGGCAGACCTGGACTAGGCCATCGACCAACTCGGCGACGCCATGCAGCTGCGGACCAATTTGCCAGACGACAATGACTTTGGCACTCCTCTGTGGTGTTGGCTGATGGACTATGCTGCTGCATGTCGCACTCGATACAACAGGAGACGAAGCTCAGAGGACCTACAAACGGCATTGGCACTGCTCGAGAAAGCAGTGAGGATGTGTCCTGTGACAGAAGCATCACGCCCTCATCTATTGAACAACCTTGGCCTTTCGCTGCGAAGCCGATACGATGATACGGGGGACAAACAAGCTTTGGACAGCGCGATACACAGTTTTCGCGAGGCCTTGAAGCTTCGACCCAGAACTCACCCCGATCGCTGTGTTACTTTAGGCAGTTTGGCGAATAGCTTGCGGGAGAGATACAAGCTGTTCGGGCACCACATAGACCTCGATGAGTCTATTGCAAAGCAGCGCGAAGCTCTGGATCTCCGCACTGAAGATCATGCGGATCGGTGGATGACACAGAGCAACCTCGGTAACGCCTTGCTGCTCAAGTACGAGACATCAGGTGAACCACAGGACATTCTGGAGGCTATCGCGGCCATCCAGTCTTGTCCCCCTGATCATCGAAGTGCCACATCAGGAAAACGTCACGGACTTGTACAGGTACTTGGGGTACTTGGCCAAGTACCTCAAGTATCCCAAGTACCTCAAGTACCCCAAGTCCAATGGACTTGGCCAAGTCGGGTGGGTCGACTTGGCCAAGTACCAGGTACTTGGCCAAGTCCTCCAAGTCCCTGTTCAAGTTCATGCCCAAGTTCACTGTGAGATGTATTGAATAATATAGATGATATGCATGGAAGTAAATCATAGAACAGCTGCTCTTGATCAAGGTCAAGTGTACGATATTTGTTAGTGGGTGCAGCGGCGGCAAAAAAAATGCCACCACAGGGAATTGAACCAGCAACCTGCAATCTCAGTGTCCAACACAGCATGTTCAACCACTACACTACAGAAGCTCACACTTTAGCACAGAATAGCAGCCATATATAGCGCTCTTTGCTGGACTCCGAGAAATTCTTCACCATCCTCTCCTGTACCATAGCAGAACTTGGACATCCACCACTGATACCACTATTCTTGAGCATTATCTGGATATTGTACCTCTGTATCACTACTGAAACAAGCACATTGTAACAACTTAAAGTCTTCTATCACATGTTATTGCCCTTCTTCTAATAGACTATAAAGCTGCTTCTACAGCCTTAAAACAGACTGGTTTACAACTAGTGTATGGATGTCTATGATAGATATTATTACATAAGAAGTATACAAGATGTGTGACTGATAGAACACCAATTGCTCAAATTGAGGCCTGAGTATACTGAAGTCAACATGTAAAGTCCAAGTTGTGGCCCAAGTACCCCAAGTACCCCAAGTATATAGACTTGGGTCAAGTCCGTGTACTTGGGACCAAGTACATGGACTTGGGGTCAAGTACACGGACTTGGGGTCAAGTACATGGACTTGAGGCCAAGTACACGGACTTGAGGCCAAGTACACGGACTTGAGGCCAAGTACACGGACTTGAGTCCAAGTACATGAACTTGGGCCCAAGTATGGGTCCAAGTCCGTGACGTTTTCCTGATGCAACCCCCTCGCTAACTTAGCAAGAGCACTTCACGTCAAATTTTCTATCCTTCAACGCCATGGCGGGAATCTTGAGGACATCGACGAAGCTATCACTCTCAATCGGAAAGCAATTTCCCTTCAGCGCAATCCTCCCGACGACGACAATCTCGCCAATGCTTTGTTGGAAAGATTCGAGAACACCGGCGACACACGGGATAGCAACGAAGCGATCCAATACCTCAGAGACGCTCTACGCAGGCGTTCTGGAGGTCCTTCACGAGCAAGTTCCCTCCACAATCTCGGTGTGGCGCTAGGATTCCGTGATGACCAAACGCGCAACAGAGGCGACTTGGACGAAGCAATTCAACTGCACCGCGAGGCGCTGGATCTCCGTCCTCCTGGTCATGCAGAACGCTTCATGTCCCTCAGCATGCTTGGAATATTTTACAAGACACTCTTCCACCTCGGGGACTCCACTTCGCTGGAAAGGGCTATCGCCGCGCAGCGCGAAGCGCTAGATTGCTGCCCAGAGGACCGACTCATCGACTATTCGCAGATCACTGGACATCTGGGCAGTGCCTTGTTGGAGAAACACAGATCCACGCACAACAAAGAAGATCTTGATTATGCAATCAATGCCCTCAACTCTGCCCTTGGCCGATTGCCAGCTTCACATTCCTTGAGACGCATATCCTTGGTGAACGCAGCACTGGCTCACCGTTCCAAGCTGCCGCTTCACGATGAAGACCTCGAACGTATCATTTCCTATCAGCACGAAGCCTCAGAGCTGTTCCCGCTGGAGCATCCACTGCAATCTGTCATCCTTGCACGGCTCGCTACTGCACTTCTGCATAGGAGCTCAACGGGTCAAGACCCTAAGTTCGCTCTTCTCGAGAGAGCGACCACGCTTCGAACGGCGTCGGCCCGGGACCGCCTGACTGCCGCAGGAGATCGGGCGACGGCAGCTCGACAACGACAGCACCCTACCACGATTTCCGCATATTCACATACCCTGGCACTTCTCGACCTCTGCCTTACTGCCACGCCCACAGCAGAACTTCAGCACAAGCTTCTCGTGGAACTCGATCGACGTTCGATTGCGTGCGAAGCCTGTGCGGCTGCCATTGAGCTTGGGGATCTGGAGGTCGCAGTCGAGCTCCTCGAGCGAGGCCGGGGTCTGCTGTGGGCCAGGTTGACTCGGTTTCGCCACCCACTGGACGACTTGAAGGCCGTCAACCCAGATCTTGCGCGCTCGTTCGAGGAGTCTAGCCGAGAGCTCGAGGAGCTTGCCACCAGTTCGTCCGAAGGAGCCGTGGGTACCGCCGCCGCATCGTCATCCGGACCTACGTCGACCCCAAGATTTGATAAGCAGCTGCATACCTTGCACACGACCTCTGAACGGCTGCACAAGGTGGTGGAAGAGATCCGCAGAATCCCCCGCTTCGCCAATTTCCTCGACGCTGTCCCGTACGCTGACCTGTGCAAGGCAGCTGCAACCGGGCCGACTATTATAGTCAACATTTGCGAATTTCGCTCGGACGCTCTCATCATTCGTCACGATTGTCCGCCACTCCTCGTGCCTCTCCCTGCTGCAACTCCGTCGGCACTGGTGAAGCTGTCTGCAGCTCTCACGAATCATCTCGAGGAGATCCATAGTGCTCCGGACGAAGATGCCAGCAGCCCCGTTGAAGATGGATTTCTCGCCTCCTTTCTATCGTGGTTTCCGTGAACCTGGATTAGCACGAATACGCTTCTCAACTATGCTGCGCCACAACAGACCGCGAGCGCGAGTGTGCATGACAAGGAGATCCGCAGGTTACTGCGAACCCTCTGGGACATTGTTGTTGAGCCGATAGCAAACAAGCTCATAGAAGTTGGCGTCCAGCAGCACTCCCAAGTGTGGTGGTACCCGACTGGAGTACTTTGTCGTTTGCCACTTCATGCAGCCGGACCGTACAAGCGTTCACAGCCCGGCTTTCACGAGCTCTACGTATCTTCCTACACAACAACCCTTTCCCGCGCCCTTTCATGCGTCGACGATGATACTACCGCCGGCAATGACGGCCTGCGGAATATGCTCCTCGTCAGTGTCGCTGGGGATCCGTCGGCGAAGCACAAATATCTGAAAACTGCGGCAGCAGAAGCCGACGTCATACGCCACTTCTCCGACAGCTTCGCTTCGTTCCTTGCGCTCTGTGACGACGCTGCGTCCCCGCAAGCTGTGCTAGCTCATCTCCACGAATACTCATGGGCACACTTTACTTGTCACGGACACCAGAATCCTTCGCCGTTCGATTCTTCGTTCGAGCTGCATGGTGAGGGGTACCTCCGTCTTATTAACATCGTGCGATCACGCCTGCCAAATGCCGAGCTTGCGTTTCTTTCCGCGTGCAACACCGCCACGGGGGACTTCGAGGGGGCACCGGATGAGGTCATTCACCTCGCTGCAGCCATGCAATTCTGCGGGTTCCGCAGCGTCGTCGGGACATTGTGGCCGATGCGAGATGAAGATGGTCCAGTCGTCACAGAGGCTTTTTGTGATTTCTTGCTGCACAGGCGGCAGAAAATAGGGTACAGAAGCTCTGCAGAGGCTTTGCACCATGCTGTTACGAAACTACGCTCCGACAAGAATGTAACGATTGACCGCTAGATTAACTTTGTACACTTTGGCGCTTGAACCCCATGTGAAATATCGAATACCGTGCACCGGACAGGAATTAACCTATTTGTGACTGGGTAGCAGTAGTGAGATGGCGCATTTACCTGCGCTTGAAATCTGAGTGAAAGCATGAATATTTCGACTCGATCTCCGAGCAGATCACCCCGCCGGCGGACACAATCATTGGGCAGCCGTGCGCTCTTGTCTCGCCACTTGGCACGAACGCTCTTACATCCGATGTCCGCCAGGGATCGCCGCCCCAAGGGTGAGACAGCGCAATGCTCAGTCCCAGGCCTCTTCGATGGTATTGATTTCGAAACACCTTTGCGTCGCTTTTCCGGAAAGCCACAACGGTGATTGAGAACTCGACCTCTCGTCTCCAACGTATGAACAGTGAGCGCAAGTCCGGGGACAGTTCCTCAGTACGTTGCGCCGAGCAGCATACGGTTCGTCTCGCATGGAAATGGGGCACAACACAGCGGTGCGGAGGAACGAAACGAAAGCAATGAATGTATCGCGTACACATACAAGGACGTCGCACCGACGTGCAGTGGACGCTGCAGGGACCTATGATGATATACGGCGTAAGCGGACACAACCCCAATCGCCGTACTGATCGCGTCTTCACGCCCGTTATGCCATCACCGCTCTCGCCCCCTGCTTGCGGTCACAGTCCCGCTCCTTCTGCTGAGCGACAAGGGCACCGGCCGCACCGTGACGGCGAGCATCGCGTCGTCGGATGGCTCTGAGATCGAAGTGCACCGAACCGAGCGGTGCACTTCACCCGTGTTCGTAACACCCTCTTCCCGGCCCTGCCTCTCTTGCACGTCATCCCGCACAGGGTCGTGAATTGCTCGCACCAACACTTACAGCGGACTTCCGGCCCCCGAGCACAGCCAGAGCGGTCGGCATCCGACACCGGCACGGTGAGATTGGGGGATATAAAACGAGCCCTGATGCAAAGGCGACATACGGTGCCCACCGCTTTCTCCCCCTCATCCGCGCATGTGTCGTGCGTAGCGTTGTACGCGTATGCCCCTCACCAGCCGTCGATCCCGGCTGACGTTGACGGTGGGAGTAGGTCGTCTCCTCGCTCTATCCCATCTGAGGCGAGCGCAGGCCCCTGCAGGAACGCCGTTCGCCTTCCGCTCGCGGTCCAGGTTGACCTTGCACGCGGGGATTCATTTGTGCACGTCGTTTGCGGACGTGATGGCGGCCAATGAGACGCTTAGACGTGGCAGGTCGGTGCGGCTTGCGAGGCTGGGTGAGGCGGTCTTCATTCTTCGTGAACGCGGCTGTCGGTGGTTGAACTCGCCGCTTTGTACTTTGTGACGGCGGTGGCCGCGGTCGGAAGTTCTTGTGCTGGGGTGGTTGGAACTGACGTCGGGGCGCGCGCTCATTGCCTGGCCGCATCGTTAGAGCGAGGAGATAGGGAGACGACACACTTGAAGGTGAAGACCGACGCCGTCGGGACGCTCGGCACGAGCAGAGCTTGGCGAACGCGACTCCGGAGGGGGCTGTCGGTCGAATGCTCGATGACCTTCGCAGTCTTGCCCTGCATGACGGCAGAATCGAGATCACTCGGTGAATGCTGCAGACGCGTAAGCAGTCAGCGAGCGAAGCCCTCCAGAGCGCAGATGGTGTCATGGCGACGTGCTCAGCGATGCGATCCCAATTCTGTCCTCACGTCGATGGGGACGTTCCGGCATGGCATTTGGGCGGGTATGACAGCGTGGGCGGTCAGAGCGCACTCGAGCTCGAGGCTTTGGCAGGGATTGAGTCTTGAGGCGAGAACACGCGCAAGACCGCGTGTATCGGCGCCACCGCGGTAGCGGGAGAGGGCGCGTCCTACGCCTCACGACAGGCGTGGGTGGAGGAGGGCGTGGGGTCGCAGTCGATGCGGCGACGCGGATATTGGGGGGAGAGGACGGAGTCGCTGAGCGGGAGGAGCAGATTGGCTCAGGCTGTGCGATCCCCAGGACGCGCCGTATGCACCCGCTCTGACGAATACCGAGAGCCTGGAAGGACGGCGCGATGGCCGGGTTCGTGTCGACAGCGGTCCGCGGATGCTTACCGTTGATCGCGAGAGCTATTCCAATCGCACGCGCACTATCAGTCGTGGAGGACGGTGATATCTACCTCACGGCAGCGGGCAGCAAGCATGGCAGCGTAGGGGGATGCGAGTGAATATGATCTCATAATAATCACTTCGGAGAACATAGGGTATGAAGGGAACGCACCAGTAACACGGGAGATGGTCTCCTTGCCGGAGAGATCGGTAACGTGGACGAAGGTGTCGGTGGACGAAGGTTGGTGACCGTGAACGCGTCGGGGGCGACGTGCATGGAGCGGTGGCCAGCGCCGTCGGTGAGGAGGACGAGATGAGTGGAGGAGCAGTTCACAAAGGGCGATCAAAGCCATAGGGCAGATACGCCGCCGAGGGGCGAGAGAGGCGAGGAAAGGAGGAGAAGCGAGATATGCAGGCTACTTAAGTAGCAGCAAGTCTGCGGGGCGCGACGCGAATGCGCGCGTGAAAGCACGCATCGTTCGATCCGAGAGCGCCTGCGAACCTTCGCGCGGGTGCTGGTGCGTTGGCCGGATTGCCCCGAGTCTATTATTCAGGCTGCGAAAGGCATTATGCGTGAGCAAGAATACCAAGAGGTTCAGCGGGCGGCGGTCACGTTCTACGTAGATACATTTGTTTCGCAATACTCAAGGCTGCCAATCCCTCCTGTTGAATCACAGGGGTTCTGATGGGCCGGATTGTACTATTTATCATGTATCTCAGGCTTGCTTTGTTCGTGTAATGAACCATAATCATGCTTGTCGGAGGCAGAATACATAATAATATGTCTGAATGCAATCACCAGCCTGTTTCCTAACTCCAACCAAGTGAGCGATATCAATGCCTTGTGGCCACAGCTCCCACTTGACCCGCAGTAACGTTTAATAGGGCAACTCGATTGTGCGTGGTCACTGGCATCGCCAATTTGTTTTTAGCCTGGTGAACGTCTGGCTGCACGTTTTGGGGCTGCGGCAGAGCAAGGCATCCCCCATCTCGATAGAAACTCCAAGGCGGTCCTCAAGGTGCTTACGGTACTGTCCGTGCCAGCCGGTGTCGAACGGCGGACCAAATACAAGCAAGCAGCCGAAGCATCCCACGCCCAAAAGACTGCAATTTGAGAGCCATCGTGGCACTGACCGTAGCAGGCAATACCTCCAGGTGAGTACTAGTCTCGTGCTTCTGCAGGGACGGTAGTGCCATACTCTCTTTGGAACAGTACATCTCTACAAGAGGTGCGTATGTGCGTCTCAGGCCGAATGTACCTTCTGAACTTGATCAATAGGTATAGCCCTTGGTCCACCAAGGTCGACGTAACTTCGGACGACCATCGAAGATGACTTTCGATACATTCCCATCCCTGCCTCCAGAGCTCGAGAGCCCCATCATCGACCTTCTCCGAGACGACAAAGCATCAATGTCTGCTTGCTCCCTCGTCTGCTTCCGGTGGCTCGCCGTTAGCCGCACCCATCTCTTCCATACTGTCACCATTAATCATTCACCTCCCACCCACGGACGCGCAGGAACCTTGACCAAGTTCCTCCAATGCCTCACAAACTCCGAGTCGCCCTCACGACCCCCTCCAGCCATTGGAACATATGTCAGAAAGCTGACCATGAACGGCGGGGCCCACAACTCCCGGGTCACCCTCAGGTTCCTCCGTGCTCTCATGGACAAGCTGCCCCAACTGAGGTCGCTGTCACTAGAATCTTCCCACATCATAAATGACCTACCGGTTGTCCCTGTCGAACGACCTACCCGGAGGTTGGATGAGCTGACCCTCTTTTGCTGCTCCGCGCCGGGGGGAAATCCGCGCCACTTCCTCGCACTCCTCTGTATGTTCAGCGACATCCGCTCACTTCGGATCGGGGGTCACATGGGTTTGCTGATATCTGCACCCACTTTGCCCCGACTCAGCGCTGTCTTCAAGCCCCCTCTCATTCAGTCACTGGACATCGACAGCGTTGATATGCCCTCCGCGAGTGTCATATACGATTTCTTCGCGGACACCGCCTGGACTGACCGCCAGGAGATCACCCATATGCGTCTCACCATTCACAACTTGGAGGATTTAGGGGTCTTTTCGAACTTTGTGCACCGCACTGGCGCCACGTTCCGTACCCTATATCTGCGGATAAACCTGAACATGGACATCCTGGAGCCTGAGACCCCCTCGGTCGGTGAGCATCGTCTGGTAACGATTGCACGTTCGAATTCACCCAACCATTGCTCTTCGCAGCGTCGGACCCGTTTTCCCTTGCACCTTGCGCTGCGCTGGAGTCGCTTGTGTTGTGCTTCTGTTGCATCACCGAATCGGTGCACGACCAGATTGACGTGGTCCTCTTCATGCTCCTCACTTACACTGGTCTCTTCTCTGAATACCGAGGCGAGCTCTCTGCACTTACGCACGTCCGCATGGACGCGGGATCAGATCGTGTGGAGGTAGCCAGAGCATTCATCACTCTCGCCCAAGACGGCGATCATGGCGAAGACGGAGAGCAGAACGCGCATGAAGGGCCCGGCATGCAAGAGGACTCAGAGCTGTGGACGGATTTTGAGGATGCGCTGCTTGGGCTGCCAGCCCTCGAGCGTGTGGAGTTTGGGTTCGACGAGATCTTGTGCGGCGACAGGGATGCGGGAGCAATCAAGGTAGCGCTTGAGAGCGCGCTGGAGAAGCGGTTGCCGAGACTACAGCAACAGGGCACTGTACGGGTGCTGATTTAGACAAGTGCGCTATCCGAGAGGAGAGCATCTATCTAACTTGCTTCACGTGTTGTGTCTCTTTGTCCTCTATTGAAAAATCACAGGAGTCAATTGTGACATTGAGCTCGGTCCAAGACCGCCAGCCTTGCACTGGCATTCGAAGTACCGGGAGGGAGCGCCCTTACCTGCTTTTGGTTTGGCCCTCTTTACCTTGTTTCCTCGAGAAGACAAACCATGTACTCAACCGAAATGCATTCTGGCCCCGGGTCTGCCTCCATGAGCGATGACTGTGCGACTACATCGGACTTGAAGGTGCATGGCTGACACCGTTCCTAGCGTCTTGTGTCGTGACCTTAGATGATGCTGTAATAAGCGGCGGCATCATGATAATTTTCCGTCTGCATGACACTCACGAGAAATCACCTGGTTTGCGAATATGTCATCCAAGGAGACGATCGTAGAGTCCAAACCCCCACTTGCCTCGTACGCGCCAACGGACGTCACTTAGCATCATCTTCACGCGGTTGATAACCCAACCTCCGTCAAGGTCAGCCCGGCATCACATCTATCAGCCTGCCCTGCCAGCGGTTCAAGAACCCGCACAGCGCCGCAACCACTCCTCAGCCCCCAACTGCCATCTTCTCCGCATCTCGGTAGATCATCCTCACTTCGACTTCGTATGCGAGTTGGGACGTCGCCCCTTGGCCCCCATGAACGCATCGGGCCTCGTTCTCGCCTACTACTTATCCGTCTATCGGCAAGGAGAGTTGTCCAGTCAACATGTCACTCCTGCCCCACACCCGAGTCGTGAACGTCGCCGCTTCCGGGTATTGCAATTGCCGAGGATTTCATTAGTGACGACTGAGGATGTTCAATCAGTAAGCATGGGTTCATCTTCTCGTCCTTCTTCCCAAACCTGACTCCTTGGACGATCACAGGCAGCTCTACCAGCACGTATACTAGTCGCTCACCACTCGCGGCAAATCATGCAGTCGCCAACCAAACTCGTCCTCCGTGGTCCCTGACGTATCTCCCTTAGCACTCCCGGGCCGCCGGAGTCTTGGGGTAGTATACCAGGTGGGACTAACGGACTTGGACGGTGGTTCCCCCTTATCTCATCAGCCGCTTCGGCCTACGGAGACGATGGCGAGTGGGTCTTCCCCTTCTCTCTCTCTCGGAACACTCGGTAGGTCGACGATCTGCATACCTGTGAGAAGAGCTCTGAGTATCCGAGGCTCTGCTATACAGTTTCCCTTGACAAGCCATCGCTAGTACCCCTCCGCTGGGAAGGCATCACGGTCGTAGCCACGGTCGTAGCGATGATCGCGGGCGATGTCAATTGGGTTAGCAGAACGGAGAAGTGCCCTGGGGGAAGGGGGTGCAGCATCACCAATTTCGCTTTTCCCTCGTTTTCAGTACAAACGAAGTGAACAATACGAAACCATTTGACTTGAGAACAAGACCGCGTGCGCTGAAGACTGGGAGCGGGCTTGATTTCCACGGCAGAAACGTCAGATTGCGCGACGACGTACGAGGCCTGATACACAACATAGTACGCACTCGTGGAATCTCGTGAGGAGTGACGATACAGATGACAACAGGGACAACACGAAGGGGCCGGGAGTGAGCGGGTTTGTCCTAGCGGTAGCGATCGGAGTCGGACGGGCGGTCCATCATGCCCCGTCGCCTGGAACCGCCTCCGCGGTCTTCTAGAGGCTCGCGGTCAGGACAGCGTGTCGGTCGACGAGCTGGAGAAGGTGAAGCGTGGGAGCTGACGCGCAGAACAACTCAGCGGAGACGATGGGGAGGAGGACGCAACTCGTTCAGGACGTTGGACGACTTTGTGAGCGTCGCGAAGTATGCGGTGAGCTGCACGCGTTCGTACTCGGTGTCGAAGTCGTCGCGGAAGCCCCTGTCCTCGCTTGCGGGCGGAGAGGGTGGACAGCGCGCGGAGGGTGGCGTGGTCTTTCTTCGCAGAAGGCGCCTGTCGCACGCTGCGTCGAGAATGGTAATTCAAGCGCCGATGATCGAATCGGGAGGCGAGAAATGGCGCCGTGGGGCTGCCAGCAGCAGCACTGCAATACTGATCTGCAATTCGCTTGCACTCATCCTCAGCGCAACGTGTCTCATACACATATGTCCACACGAAGGGTCGACTGTCATGGGTTATGGATCTCGTGCGGCAATCAGCACATTGTCCGATTACAACGCACTGTGGGCCTCCCAAGTGCCGCCTAAGGTCGACTCGGTCCGACATATATCGTAGCGCGGTGTCATCAACATGGACCAACATGATTTAACTTGGATCGCCTTGGGGCCCCACAAGTACGGGCTTACTCTGCTTATGACATTCCTGCAGGCTCGTCCCTCGAACGCCTTAGATCAGCTTTGGCCCAACTTCATCCAAGAAAGAACGGTGTGTTCGACGTTCAATGCTAGCCCACTAGGTCTACTCATCATGTCTTGTGGATGCGTTGGAGGGTGTGTAGTCATTATCAAGATGTCTACTTCCAGGACTACTGCACACAACATAGCAAATGATGAGCTTCCAAGGCTTCCTTCAGTCTCTTCCGGGGCTGTTTGGTGGCTACCACCCGCGCAGGCCGCCGATTCTACTGGGAGGGATGTGACGACGTCAGCCGAGGCGAGCAGATCGACTCGTCCAATAAGGCATCCCGACTTCCCATTTCAGCCACTGGGTTGACTTCATGTTCGATTTCATCCCCTGCCCGCCAGCCACCTGTGTATATAACAGCGCCGTTGGTATTCGTCAGATCTACACCACTAGCTGTTACACACACATACACCTCTGTCCAGAAAACTCCTCCTGCACACAATGCGCTCATCCCAGCTACGCTACAACGCCGCCCAATCCGGCCGGGCCAACGCGGCCATGCACGCGTCAGGCACAGGTGGCCGTTTGACGGTATGTCTTCCTGTCCTTCACGCATGGTTCGCACACACAAATTCGTTGGCATTCTCTCAGACGATGGGCGTGGGTATGGCCACCGTCGCAGTGGGCCTTGGCGCCTTCTTCTACATGCAGATGGCGAAAGTGAGCCACGACCCCAACACGATGCCAACATGTACGTCCGTCCACTCTCCCTTGCGTTCGTCATCTAACGCTAATGTTATCAGGGCAATACCGCCACGCACTCCAAGCGCCTGAACACATGTCGAGGACCAGTTCTCCGGGAGGCACGCAGACGAGCGTCCGTAACTCGAAGGAGCCGACGCAGTATCTGCCTACCAACCCCGTGGGCACCACAAGCAAACACTCTGGCGGGCAATCGGGCAGCGGCCTCGTTCAGACGAGCGCCCCCGCGGACACTGGCAAACCCCGTGGGAGTGCCGGTGCGTACGAGGATGGAAACGAGGAGCCCTCCACTGGCAAGGGGTCTCAGGTCGGGAGCGGCCAGAACGGGTCGAACAACATTGGGCGGAACGATAGAGGCATTGTGAGCAGCGTACTCACCAAGCTTCACGTAAGCTTTCGCTGAGTTGTACGCCGGATGTGTGATGCTCATCGGGGGTCAACAGGGCGATCCGAAGCAAGAAGACCAGAGTAGATACCAGGGGCAGCCGGCCCAGAGCACTAGGTTGAATGATCGTGGCGGGCAGTACACCAAGGTACTTTGTCCATCCGTTTCCGAGTCAAAGCTTCGACACTCACCCGTTTCGTTCTCTCACAGAACTCAGACTTCAAGGATAGCTATCGTCGCGATTAGGCTGTGTAGGGCTAGCTCAACCATCCGACGAAACTCACGATTTGAGTGTAAAGTAGACTTCGGTTTACTATGATAAATGGTCCTGGATACGCGTCAGCCATGCTAAGCACCTGCAACTTGTCACGAAGAACATCAAGCCAGGAGCAAATGGTATAGTGTAGTTAGATCGCTTTCTGGGGGGCAATTCTGTGTGGTCTCTGAGTCGCATAGCCTCAAACCCGCAACGATCGCCGTCGGCTACCCTACCCCGACGGGCCAAACTCTTGCGAGTTACGGCCTGCGATTCGCCTGTGAAGACAAATATAAATATAATCGCGTGGTGTCGGCCGATCAACCGTGTGGATGCTCACAACAAAGGTCGCGAGGACATGTCGGCACGACTCGATGGGATTACGAGGAGGACATTACGTGCAAGGGATTATAACGATGGTCTAGGGAAAGATGAGGAAAGAGTAACAAAAGGTGTCTATAAATTACGCGTATGCTGAAGACGCATGCGTGCGTATGAGGTCGCTACCCTCATGTTCGTGGACAGAAACATAGGCGATATATAGGATAGAGACTCCGAAAGGAGAATAAATATGTGAACCATGCTACAGGAGGGAGGAGACGGAGACTCAGATCGACAAGTCTACGATTAGCAATCTTTGGTGCGAATTGAATAGACCAAGGGAGAGAATATCAAGAGAACGACGTTGAACGAATGGACGTCCAAAGGCCTTCCACGATGGGGGCCGGGATGCTAAGATGTTAGGAAGAGGACGGTGTCCGAGTGCGAACATCAAGACGAACGAAGGGATGCTGTAATCGAAGCGCATGACGAGACGAGACGACGGATACAAGGAAGAATGGAGATCGGAAATACGCGCAACGCGTCCGTTTTTAGGTGTACGGAGTTCACGGGAACGTTCACAGCCGGTAGTCGCGAGGTTCCGTGGCTCGGTGGTAGTGGAAGTCAAAGTAGATCTCAATCGCCGGGCGCATTGCCGACTCTGAGCGGTCCATAAGCCTGAGAGACTGCTTCGAGGACGACCCCGCTAGAAGGGCCGAGGGCTTTTCGACCGGCATCTAAGTCCTGGTGGGAGCAACGTCAGCCACGAGTCTCGCCTCTAGGCTCCCACACCACCATCACAGCCAGCCGGGAGCCCATTTGATGGTGAGACGCCGACATACCTACGCGTGCATACGGGATCTCGGTCACAAAGAAGGCCGCACCGCCTGTTCGTCCGGCCATCATTTGCGAAGGGGAAGGAGGCGGACAGACAGGTCGTGGCGAACCTGGGGACCCTCCTTGCCGAAGTAGCGCTCGGTTTCGAACGACCAAATTAGGTTGCCGATCATCCAGTCACCGAGGCCATCGATGTATACGTTCAGCTGCTCGTCGATCTCTTGACCCCACGAGGGAAGAGCCTTGCGAAGGGCGTCGAAGCGGTCGATGCATCCGAGACAGAGGTCCCCGACGTAGTCGATGGCCTCTTGGAGCTCGAGCTTTTCGTGGTGCTGGACGATCACAACCATGTTGTGCGTATCGCCTGTTCGGCGAATCAGGAGTCAGCAGCCGTTCAGTGATCTCGAGGACTGACACGACAACGGGAACGATGCTACGAAAGGTACGTACCGTTCGCTTGCTCCACGTTGTACGAAAAGATATCCTGCAGCCGGCGGAGACAGATTAGTATGCGCGAAGGGGCAGGGGCGAGACGTACAGAACATCCGGCGAATAGCGGAGAAGACGTACGTTCGACCACTAGAAGCAAGGGACTCGTCAGTACAGGCTTCAGGGGAATATATCCACACACAAACTCACCGTGACCAAGTCGTTCGCGGCTTCACCCAAGCCCAGAACGACAGGATGCTCCATCACCCAGTCTGGCAGATCGAGCTGTGCGAGAGGTGAGCGTGGGACCCTTCGCGCTCGGCGGTAGTACGTTACGGCATGGACACTCACGTTGTTTGCGTACTCAATGAGGGCCCAACACGGTTTGCACCCACTTGTATCCCGGCGCATGGCAATGTATGACTCGAGATCTGGGATGTTCCCAGACGCGCGATCTTTTGCTTGCTGGGTCACTGCGCGGAAGAAGAGCTCGAACGTCTCGATGAATCGCCTCTGCGCGCCTTGGGAACCCGTCGCAGTAAGCCGGCGCCAGAAGCTGCGTGGAACGTGTCAGCCAAAACGCGCCGAAAGGGATGCAATCGGCAAGGCGCAAAACAAACATCCAGGCCATGAGGATACTCACCTCTGCGTGAGTCGTCCCACTGCTGACGAGGCGCGAAAGCCACGCGGGTCCCGAAGTGCACCAATGATCTCGCTTGAGGTGCTAACTGTCCTACGGTCGTCCATCTCGTCGCAGATGTTGTCAAGATGGAAGAGGTAATTGATGAAGTCACAGCACACTCGGAGCTGCTCATAGTCGGCGAGAGGGTAGCACATCGCGGTGAGGAGACCGCCTCTGAGTCCGTGAAACGCAGCGCGCTTCTTCTTCTTGAGTCGACACCCCTGGATGAGCCATCGTTTGGACTCTGCGGAGGCGAGCTGGCAGTGTGGGTTGACACGGAGTGGGTATGGACAAGGCGAGATTAGGTCGGGGAAGATAATACTGGTCGGGCGATATGATGAAGGAGGCGGCGAAGCGACAGTCATGTTTGACTCTATTGAAGAATGAAAAACAAAATAAGACCAAAAGAGCGTGGAGGCAGCAAGTCAACAGGAGTGGGGTCTGCTGAAGGTGGGATGGCGGAGTCCTCTAGCGAGAGAGACCCAGGTGCTTTTAAACTACACCAAGGCAGGGTGCGCAAGGCGGACCAAGCGCAGCCGGAAATTCCCCAAATTCGGTGGAATTATGAATATTGTTCTTGGGTTCGCGCGGCGGGTCGTGGCGCTGTGAGACCTCGAGGCTGTGTGGCAAAATCGCGGGCCATAACGAGAGGACACGGGCGTCGTGTGCGGCATGAGATTCTTGAGAGCGCGTTTCAGATCGCACCGGGTCAACCGAAATGTCGGCTATGCGGGTGAAGTTGTGCGAAGACATGCGACTGTGTCCGGTAAACAATAAGCTCTTGAGAGAAGCATCATTTTCACCGTGCCTACCAAGGGTCGGGGGTCGAGAAGACTCACAAGGCCATTGATGCCAATGTCAACCTGACGATCTGGAGGATGCCAGAGATGGGAGGGGATGCTTCGACGAGAAGCGACAGTCGCACTCTACCGATTCGGACGTCAAGTCACACGAGCGACAGCGATGTTCTCCAGCCCTGACATGCCGGGGTTTCCTCTCAGATTGTACCTCTTCTGTTATGCTGACTTCTGGGGAACTTGGGGGTGCTTCCAATTCGCCGATCAAGTCCTCGATATATGTTGGGATCGTTGGACGTCGGCGAGAGGCTGTACAAGCCGCGGTGATACGAGTGCAAGGTATCTGTCAGGACGGACACTCTAATCAGCGCTGCGTATATGAAATGACTCCAGCAGGGCGGGGAAATGACGGGCAGTACGTGGCGACCGGGAGAACGAATTCGGATCCGGCCGCATGTGAGAAGATGTGAGGGAGACTCGTGGACACTGGAGAGGGTGAAGGTTCGTCGCCAACATGCATAGGCGGGCGTTGTTGAGATTCGGCGATCTCCTCGCAATCGGCGAGGCGGGATCTGTGATCTTAGCGAGGCAGTAAGTCAAAATGGCTGCACTATGAACGTGAGAAACGCCGCGTAGGCTGTACCCGTCATTCGTACTGCCGCCTTTGAAGCGTGGGGTAAGCGTCGCTATGAATATGAAGTTTACAAGCGAAGAGCGTCCAGGCAAACGGGACTTGTCTCTGTCTCTCATACTTTAGTGAACAATTCATGAGGCGCGGGGATATCCTGTTTATTGGCACTCTCGCAGAATGATGTTCGGTACCTGGCGCTATTCGAGCAGCTTCACCTGAACTTATGCTCCGTCAGCGTCTGTCAGCCCTCGATATATCTATGTATCCCACACCTTATACTTCAGGTCCTCCGCATTCCCAATTCTTAGTTCGGTGCACGAACTCTCTTGTGCCATATTATGATGAAGAGGTGAGTTGGCATTGACGGGAGAGAGTGGAGCTTCAGAGGCCGGGCGAGATATTAGCCAGGCAAAGTGCATGCCAAGGGGGCCTCAGCCTAGGCCGTGCGTGCGGAATATCACAACCCTGCATTTCGGCGCCCGCGATTGAGATTGAGTGGGAACCATAGGAAATCTGAAGACGATCTGGGGTTTGGGGACCCTGTCGCTCGGTTGCAACAGGTCTGGGACCGGTCTCCGCGCGGACCAATTCGGCGGATGGCATCACCGCCCGAAAATCCTAACTTATGCCAGGACCCATCCCCAACGCTACAGATCGAAGTCCGGCCGCGCGCGCGCTACGAGAGACCGATTGTTGCTATGTAGTGAGAGTTACCCCCACACGGGACCGTAGCCGTGAGGGGATTCGAGCGCGTTCAAGTGATATAGTGCCGATGTTATCCCTGAACTTTGACGGCGCTGGTCAGCAGCGATAAGGTCACCAACTTGTCGAACCCACCACATGAGAACGACCTTGAGAATGTGCTTGGACGAAGATCGTAGTAATGTAGGGATAAGTCCACGTATGGGTATCACCATAGTTTGTTTTGCAGCGTCATCCATCGATGGCAGACATCCGCGCGGTACACACTGCCAAGATGTTCATGATTCTGTGTGACCTACATGGGTACATGTAAGGGATTGGTCGGTGTGCGACAGCCAAAAGGCGGGATGCGAGTCTTCGGACGGTAGGCCCGGATGGACAAGAGTGTGGAATGCAGCATACCTATCGATAGTGTGTTGTCGTGCGATATCTGCCGGATCGGTTGCATTCATGGTACGGCAGCAAAAGTCATATCTTCGCATGCACCCGCCGGCTTGTCATACAAGGTGCACGTTGTGAATGATACCAGCATGGCCATGAGCTCGAGCAGGCAGCATGTACTTACCGACTGCAAAGTGCCTTGATTATTCTGGTCGCGATGTCCCGCGATCGTCTACTCTCCCATGTCCTAGTATCATTCCGTACTCTTCCCATCCAGGGCCTTCATTCGCGCATGACTGAGAGGGACGATCAGTCGAAGATAGCGACATCGTGGCTCATCTCGCAGCCTAAACGCACAGACGCAGTACTTGCTCATGTGGTAAATACTGTACTTCGCGCCGGTATTCGAGGGATTATGATATGATCGTCATCTTCTGTGACCTGGGAATTTTCCGCTTTGTTGTATTGGAAGGAAAGTCGTGGACAGCGTTCAGTCAACGAAGAGTATCAGTTCCTGCGCTGATCCCTACAAAACAATCAACATCGTCAAGGGCTATGATCAGTCTATTATAATTCGTGTAATACTCCTAACTTCTCATGCAGAGGTGGTTCAAGAAATTGAAGGGCCGTCGGCCGTAACCGTATGTCACGTGACTATCCATTGGCGCAGCTCGGAATGCTCCATGGCGGTCAGCCACTTCTTCGAACAGCCTCCATCTCCTCGCTAACACTCGTTCTCCATACGGCGATAGATATTTGCATCTGCGCGCGCTGAGCTTCTGAATCTACCGTTCTCATTGCAAGGCTTGTCACGCATTCAGCGAAGTCTGGCCGTTATCAGTCCGCGGGCTCTTCAGCTATCATGCCTTCACGGCGGGTATTTGGGACAGGCGACACGGCTCTCGATATTGATCCAGATGCACGAGAGATGCAAGGAGGGGGACCGCATGGTGTACGACGACCAAGTACTCGAGTCTCTTTCTCAGGACTCGTTCGCAAGCCAAGCATACTAGACCGATGGAGTCGAGCGGGAGGCGGAGATGAGGAGAGTGGAATCACACAGACCCCAGAGCGACCGGCAATTCCAAGCGCGCTGCAAGCATCGGGAGAAGTGTATACCACACCTCTCCCCATACTATCAATGGCTGTCTTGTCAATTGTGAGCGTTCTTATTTACGCAGGGGGAATAAAGGCTCGCGTGACTGAAGGTTGCATGATACAGACGATGCTAGGGGAGTTTCTCTGTGCGAACGTATCTGCGCCGTTCTTGTTGTTCATGGTCGAAGGTGCGTTTGTCACCATATGCCCTGGTTTACCGGAACTCAATGGTCTGCCTCTCAGGCTTCGGGCAATTCCACGACGAATCACAAGTCGGATACTGGACAGGACTATTGGGTGAGTGTTGCCACGCTTTCGGACGCATCGTCAGGAACATGGGAGCATCCACCGGGATGGTGTTCAATTGGTCATGAGATCAGTGGTCGTCCCTCCTGTTCGGCTTTTTTCGTCCAAATAGGTTCGGATGGTTGTTGCTAAGTTATCACTGAAGACGCAGAAGGGATTGTGGCGATGTTCAAGTCGCACCAGCCCTGACAGAAAAACTCTTCAACCTATGCCTCGGGAGCCGTCGCAATCGGGCTTTCCATATAAGTTGCATTCTCAGCCGCCTATTGTTTCCCATGACAGTGACAGACGAGGCCCAGCCGACGCTGCGAGACATTGAGCGGCTGTTTGCATTGATGTTGCCCTGAGATGATCCGAGGAGATTGTTTTCCTCTCGTGCTGACGCTAGTTGACAGTGTCGACATTCTTCCTGACGCAATTTCTCACCTCTCTTCTATGGGTGAGCTACTCTAGGGATAACAAACGTTCCTCAGTCCGTTCTCACACATACAATGTACAGGCAACCGTAGCCTCAAAGCACAACCCACGCATCGTCCTGACGATCTCTCTGCTAGGCAGTGCCGTTACTTGTTGTCTCTTCGGCACCTCGACCTCAATTGAACAAGCAATTGCGACTCGCCTCATGCAAGGCGTGTTCGCTGGCGCGATTGGCGTGGCTCGTGGTACCGTGGCCTCTATTACCGATCAAAGCAACGAGGGTCGCGCGTATGCAATCCTTGGGTGATTCTCCTTAGTCGGTGACCGGTGATATCGCACTCCGCTGACCACAAATCATCTACGCGTTCAGATTCTGTTGGGGCTTCGGAGGTGTGTCCGGTGCTATCGTGGGTGGGACGTGTGCGTCTTTTCGTTTCCGTCTAGCGCATATAGTTAGTCATCGAGGTCATATTCAGTCGAATCGCCCGCCCAGACGTGGCCGAACGTATTTGCGAAGGTGCCCCTGTTCGTGACTTACCCGTACTTGCTGCCATGCTGCGTCGCCGCGTCGATCACGTTCATTGGTCTGTCTTATTCCCACGCGACATCTCGTATGGCTTTTAGCTTAACTTTTACCAGGCTCCGTGCTGTCCCTATTCCTCAGTCCGGACTGTGGGCCCCGGGAAGGCGCCATCCAACTCCCGCCCGAGAAACTCACCAGCATTCCTGAAGAAGAATCCCGCCCTTCCACGCCCCACTTCGATGAGACCGATGACCGTAGCTTCTACGGTTCTCTCCGCCACAAGGTTTCGGGTTACCTTGCCAAGAGGTCCCCAGAACAAGCACATGACTCCCCGGGTCCTTCCCGGCCAGTCGAGCCCCCGATGCCGCTCGTCGAATCGACCTCGGCACGCAAACTCCGCACCTTCTCCCGCGTGAGCAGAACGAACGGCTCGGCATACGGATATGGCAGCTCATACCGTAATCGTCTCGCGAGCGCCGCCAGTATGGCGAGTCGGCGTGGAAGCACGACGCTCTCACTGCGTCGCAGGCGTGAGAGCGCTTTCGAGGGTGCACCTTCGAGCGTGGCGACTGGGAGCGACATGAACTTCGCGCAGCGCCTCCTCATGGCCAACGAGAACGCGGTCACGAATATTGCCGATCTCTGGGTTGCTGCGGCGATCAACGCAGACAATGAGGATCCGTTCGAGGAGAGCGACAGCGAGCTAGACGCGGAGCAGCAGGAATCATTCTCAGATTACGCGCATGAGCATGCCGTTGATGATGACGAATTGGAAGAGGGAGACCATTACGGCTCGCCTTCAACCCCTAGACACAATCGCTTCTCTCGTCGCGTGTCGTCGGCCGCCGCTCGCACACCCGCTGCGCATCGAGCATCGTCAAGCCAACTCCGCCCGTCCTCTTCCGCGCGCCGCTTCTCGAATCTGCGCCGCGGCTCGTCATCGCTTGTTCCCGGAGCGGAGGCAGACGAATTACCACTTCGCCGGCCGTCGTCAGGCGTGCCTCCCATCTTCTCGCACGTCGGTGTGCGCACGCCTCCGGCCGTGCTTGAGGCTCAGCAGCTACTTGCGCAGGCCGAGGCGGAGGAGGAGATGGACGCGCTGACGCCCATTGCAGAGCAGAGCCGGCGCGCGTCGCGTGGGACTAGTCCCTCTGCGACGTCCATAGTTGCGGAGAACGAGCCTTCGATTATGAGCATGCTTCCACTGGCGATCATCTTGCAGTATGGGTGGCTCGCGCTCCACTCAACCACGCACGACCAAGTGTTCTATCTCTACCTTGTCTCGTGAGTTCTTGTCTTCTCGATTGCTGTCCATCTCGGAGAGGCTCGCTTTGAGCAGGAGGCATGGTTGCTTTGCTCTCGGCCAACTTACGACAAGCTCATGGATCTCGGTCACTAATGCTAATGCGTCTATTTGACAGCAAATACCCGTCGGGTGGTCTCAATTTGAACGCCGGTCACTTCTCGCAACTCAGTACGTCCTTTACCTTCTCGCGATCCGACTCAGCGCATTCGCCGACCGGAGATATGTAATCTGTTGCTGACGCATCCCGTCCTCGCAGTTGCCTTGATGTGTCTCGCCCAGATCGCGTACCAGTTCGTATTATATCCGTAAGTTACCTTCCGGCGTTCTGTATTCTCGCCGTGGAGCTTTAATTGATTTATATGCCGTACAGGAATATCGGGTATGTCTTTTCAAACTGTCCATATGCTGGAGGAAGATGGCCGACTGAGACCCTTCCGCCTTATTCAGCCCTCCAAGAGGCAGATTCTCACACCTCTCCATGTTCCGGCTGGGTTCGCTGCTCTTCATCCCGTCATACCTCACAGTCATCCTCTACCGCGTCTTCGCAAGCCCTAGCAATGACGGCAATCTCGTTCTAATGGCCGGTACGTCACTTCTCCTGCCGTGCATTTCTTATTATGCCCGCAATATCAGACAGCGAGACGCTGATGGTTCCCATGAACGACAGCTCTGGCACTTAGCACGTACGTCTTCTCAGCCTAGCACACCATCCACGCTTAGTTCCGCCCGGGACGATGGCACTGGTGGACGACGATACTGACGTGAAACATTCCGTTGCATCAGTGCGGTCCGGTACTGCGGTAGCACCTTCAGCTACACTGCGATTTCGGTGCTGCTCAATTATAGTACGTCCCTCCATTCTCGCCTCCCTATCATTTCCCATGACCCCTCCCTCGCGTATCTCCGCCTCCCACCCCTTTGCCGTACATCGCTGACCGCTGGGCGCGCCCGTCCATCTCAGTGACCCCACCGCATCTCGTCGGCTACGCGAACGGCATCGCGCAGAGCATCGTCAGCCTGGCGCGGTTCGCAGGCCCCATCCTTGGCGGCACGGTACGTCGTCTCCGCAGCTGTTGCGTCGCGACGAGCAGAAGTGCCTGGGCTGATGTCCGCTTTGCAGTTGTGGTCGAAGAGCGTCCAAGACGGCCCAGCCGGTTATCCACTGGGCTTCATCGTCTGCTCGTGTGCCTGTGCCCTTGCGATCCTGCACAGCTTCTGGATCCGTTGAACGCTAGAGATGCGGTAAGCATCTCAGCGCCAGCTTTTACACATCCTCCCAAACGCCGCTGCCCTAAATCCACCACGACCGTACGCAAGTTTCTTGGAATATTCTTCCTCCCGTCTTGGCAGATCCGTTGTTGGTCCTGCATACCATGTTTCCACGAGTCGTCATCGCGATGCCTTAATGTCTCCATAAATTACTCCTATATTTCTACACATGGACCTTTGCAGAATACACTCTCGTGAATAGCGACACAATACACGGATTGACAAGGATCGTAATGTAGCGAGAACTCTATACAGTCAATTGCTGAGGATATAGCGCAACCCTGGAACGATCGGAGGTGAGTCGGTCTACATCTATGATCTAACAGTGCCGGTGCGACGGGACGGATGGCGAGCCCCAGCTCTCGCTGCGTCCTGGCCGCAGTTCAATGGGACTTTCCGCGTGCACACAAAGGGAGGAGCGGGGGTGGCCATTACGACAGAGAGAGTTGGTCCAGTACATCCAGCTCACTGGGCGGCGACGGGAGAGCGATCAGGTCGGACAGGGGTGCGAGAGCGGCTAAAAGTTCACGTTCTTCGTCGTTGATGTGCTCGGCGCTGCCGCTGTCGTCGTTATGGTCGCCGAGCTGTGGAGGAGGAAGGTCCAAGGGGGTAAGACGAGGGGCATGAACGGCAACAGGGCGTCCACCGTCCTCCAGCGATGCACGAGTGCTCCGGTCCCGGCGAGTGCAGTTGTCTGTTAGGACGTCCTGGCTGGAGGCGACGATACGCTGGTCAGAAATGCGAAGCGTACTACGTACCTGCGATGGCAAAGAAGATATATTAACGGCCATCATTTGCACAAAAATACGAGCAGCGCACGTCGTACTCACATGGTCAGCCCCTTCGTGCGTCGTAGCAGGTGCTATCTCGTAATCGGCGCCTTGATTTCCAAGACGTTCTGTGCCAACGTATGCCTCGAATCCTTCCTGGGCACCAAAAAGGTCCTCCAGATCCTCCTCTCCTTCAGCGTCGCGATCCTCGTCCACGTCCTCGTCGCATCCGAACAAATCGGGAGACCATAGCGATGAGCTTCCCGACTCCACGTCTTCTGCTGCAATGGGAGTGTCGACCGCAGACCCGTACTCGTGCTCAAGGGTCAGATTCATCATCTCGCCACCGAACTCGCATAGAGGTGCCGTTGATGCGTCGGCCGCGTTGAGTGTCGAAGGAGCGCCTTCTCCGGGCAATAGCGCAAGCTCCGGGAACAGAAACGATCCCATCATATCAGGGGGTAGCACTCCAGTGCTGTCGTCGAACTCGAACATCGACGCGTCGGACGAAGCACAGAAGGGTAGGTCGAAGATATTGAACGACGACTGTGAGAAGACCGGCATCGCGAACGGGTACGTGGAGTCAAGTATGGATGTGTCCTGGCTCTCGTCCTCTTTGATGACAGGTGGCCGCGTTGTGCGATCGTCCGGACTTGCACAAGTGGGCAGCGACGGAGATAGAGGCGATGGGGGCGCTGAGTTGTCGATTTCCTGCTGCCCGGCTTGAGCGGTAGATGCATGGCGGCGGCGTTCTTCAGCCTCGGACAAAGCCTTCTCGAGCCCTTTGCCGTTCTTCATGATACCTTACAATCATGCACGAAGTCAGCAACGAGACCTGAGGATATACGCCGCGAAAAAAGTCTCTCACCTCTCTTCCACTCGAGTGTACTCGCACCCCAATGCCACTTAAGATGGATAGCGAGGCTGTTAGGCAGGGAGAAGTTCCGCGGACACAGAGGACACGGATGCACCATCTCCTCGTCTTCGTCATTGTTAACGTCTATGGCAGAACTTTGAGCACAAGGAAGGTCCTCCGTAGACTCGTGGACGACTGCCGTCGTCCGTCGTCTCTTCTTCCCTTGTTCGGAATCGCCCTTTCCCTGCTTCAAGTTGTCGAAGAGCGTGCACCACGGCATCGAGACACTCGCGGTTGATTGTTCAGTGGATGGAGGTGAAGACGTAGCAAGGCTTTCGGGAATAGGGTGAAAACCTGTGGGAGGAAACGACCCGTAAGGGAGGTCGCTGAAAGCGCGGGGTATGCCTGTCGTATGAGGGGTAAGATGATCCACAGTCGCATGGTGAAGGTGCGGAACAGAACGATTGTGGACTCCTGATACTCGGGGAACGTTAGGAGGGGAACCCGATTGGTGCGTAGGGTAGGAGGTCAAGGAGGGCGGCGGGGGAAGATGTAATGGGAAATAAGGGACAGTGATGGGACCGCCGAGACTATGACCAGGTTGCGACCGTACTAAGGGAAAGGAGATAGGAAGTCCCCTCGTACGGCCTTGGGATGATTGCACGGGGCGTTCTACCTGAGGTGGATTGGAGGTTCTCAAGGCGCTATCGGAACGCAAGGGAAGTCCGCGAGACATGGAGACGAGGGCTGAACGTGGTAGCGCCGGTACAGATGTGGGTGGAAGATGAGGTGACAGCAGTGAAGTAGATGGATTGACAGGAAGAGGCCACGAACGCGAAGCGGATAAACGCGCGGTGGAGTTCGTTAGATATTCTTCGCTCCACGTTGAGCCTACAACGTGCTGAAACCCCAAGGAAGGGCTGTGTCGTTTGATGGCGAGCGGAAGGCCAGATTGGGTGTTCGCCAAAGGATGCAAAGGGAATGGGTCTGCCTTCGCTGCGTTCCTGGGAGTTGACCGTCCGGAAATGTCAACCAACTGGCTGAGGGGTGTAAGAGAAACAGGTGGCACGTTCTCGTCCGCACGCTTGTTGGTGCGCCTCGAAGGCGGTGGAACTGAGAGCGATGTCGAAGGAGAGTTGGCACCCGACAAACAGGCCACGGCGCATACAGTCGACTGGGGTGTGATCACCGGTGATCCTGTCTCCTCTGTGGGTGTGTACGCTTTCTTGAACATGACGCGCCACGAGTACTCGAACATAGGCTCCGGACCAGACGCTACAAATCGTTGCGTGTCGAGATATGTTGCATCGGTCACGGACGACGTCCTGCTCGCTCCGTCGTACATTTGGAATGGCGAAGGTGCAACGCGGAAGCTGACCAGCATCGAGCGGGGCACCTCCGAGGACGAGTTACAGGCATAGTCCGAGGGAGTATCCCGACAATAGTCAGAGACGTCTTCAGAGGAGTCGGTCCGAGGAAGCTTGGTCGGTCTGGGCAGTTTCAGATTGTCGTCGCCTGAGCCTTTGCGTTTCGAGGTTGGTCTCGACCTTGCCGCCTTGGTCTGAGACCGTGTGCGTGGGCGCATATAGCTGGTTGATAGTTCCGTGGCAGCGTCTCCCTGCGGTTGCAACATTGAATCGACCGGCTCAGCTCTAGAGTATGGAAAGTGGTGCGGTCAGTATGATGCCGGAGGGAGTACAAGATAGCACTGACCAGAGGGACTGTCGTCGTCGGTGGGCGAGTTCGACGGCAAGGACGAAGGTATGTTTGTAGGAAGAGGTAGGATCGCACTCGGTGTGAAAGGATCTGTCGAAGATCACGACTGCGTCACTCGAGAAAACTGTGCCAAACCCTCTCGGTATGCGAGTTGCCCCATCCTCGGGTCCGAGTCGATCCACGCCCTTCCTGGACCCCGTCCCGCGCCGCTTTTCGAGGCTCGGATCAATATTATGTGGGTTTTCAGACTTACCAAGGTGTGTAAGGCAGTCCAACATGCGCAACCCCACACAGCTTCTGTCAGGACATGCTAGCGGCATTCAATATCACTGGATAGCTCGTATCACAGACTCGGGCATGGGCTACAAGGGCTCGTATATGTGCAAGGACAACCAGCATCGACGTCGATGGCGGGGCACCCGGGAGACAAACATCGGGGACTTTGGTCGAGATGCGCGCGCCGTCACTTCTTGGTGTCGACCCCACTCGCCGGCGCGGTGCTGGTTCCTTGTGTGCTCGACGCCTGCCTTTCCTGCCGCTCGATCCGCGAACGCCCTGTGTCATGTACGATTCCATTGGACGAGACGAGACGCCTTGGATAAGAACCAGGGACTTACAATCGAGCTTCTCCGAAGGCCGCTTTCCCTCCGCCTCCTGCATCTGTCGTCTCTCTACGATCGTTTGTTTCGCATAGTAGTAGCTCACGCCAGCCGCCACGATCAGGCTGCCCCAGCCCAACATCTGTCTCGTGAATCCCAAAGGTCAACCGCCAGCCCGTGCACGTCGAGAATCCTGTAGACTTGCCATGCTTTGAGGGGTGTTCATGCTCGAAAGTCTGGTTGCCCAGAGGCGACCAGCTGCCCCTACCGCGAGTGTAACACAGTGGAGATAGAAACAGTAACGAAGGTGGGCGGCCAGAGGTTACAGGACTGATTATTAATGTCTTCTTCAACCCTTAGCGCCCGCCAATGTCTTCGTGTCGGGTTACTGGTGGCTCCCGGAAATACTTGTTCCTGCGAGGCTCAAACTGGCGTGAAAGATCTAGGCAGTTTTTTCTTTGTCTAATAACAAACATGGCCCAAAAGATGGCAAAGATTGAACAAGGGGCAAAAAGCACAGCTACATCGAACGTCCTTAGCAACTCCTAGTTTCGATCTAGGGACTTCAGGGTGTCAGAATATATGAGCCCTGCACGCTTCCACTGCGTCAAGTTGCTATAGACGGAATATCTCACATTTGGTTATATAGACGCCTGACAGTCCTGGACATCAACCCATTGCCCATTATCCGTCAACTCCGCCGACTTGATCCCCCTTGAACACCACCACCACATCACCTAAAAGAGACGATATATCCGTTCCAGCGGGCAGGCCATAGCGCCCTTACCACAAGCCTTCTAGCATGTAATCCAAATAAGCTGCGTAAAGCGTTGCACCGGTAGCTACACTTGCGGACTTGAACGTACCGGCGCCGTGGTCAGATCACACGTTATAGCGTGGTGAAAAGCCAGGTGATGCTTTCCCCGCAAGGCTTCCTTTGGCTTTGGCGTTCCTCTTCGATAGCTGTCCGTGACATCTACACGGCGACTCGTATACAGCCGCTTTGTGGACGTGTGGGGCTGCACCAGAAGCAACCGCATCACCTGTTTCGACTTCCATCCACTCCCACTCTAGCATCTCACGACCCTAGAGTATCAGGCCGCGTCGACTTTGACCTCCTGGTCGGTCATGCGCCTCGACCGAGCGCCGCCACCTAGGCTCACGTACGTGCGCCATGCTGTCTTGATCACCGCGCGATACGATGTTGCGGTACGGATCCCACAGGCTGTTGAAACATCGTTTAGACTTCATCCACCTCGGCGAGCTAGGCCATATGGCTCTGCAACCACATGGTCACTCGCTCATATAAACTACTGAAGCACTGACAGCGTTCGAGCGCCGTCCATGCCAGTGGTCCGACGCATGGCTTGGGTTCGGATATGAACAAACCTTGCACGGGAGGTAATTTGTTCGCCGCTTCAGATGCAGCCCCATCCGTCGACGACTGCGTTATCGGCACGGCCGGGGGCAGTCTACGAGTACGCAGTTGTGCAAACAGTCGAGCAGCGCCAATCCCTCCCACCCAGACCGCGACGATCCTCGCACGACCGCCTTCCAAGGTCCTCACATTAGAAACCCAGAGCACCGGCTGAACCGATATAGTGAGAATCCTGGCCAGGCTCGGCCGCCACAACGCCGCGGTCCATTCAGGTAGCCTATCTGTTCCATCTCACCGCTCCTGGCCCGCCTGGCCCCTTCGAAGACATATGGTCTCACCCGGGGGTTCCATTGAAACGAAACTCGGCGGCTTCCTTGGCTTCGATGCCAGAAAGAACGCTGAAGACCTTTTCTTGGGGTGCCTCGGTTCGCTAGCCTGTCAATACTGTCCCACTACCATAATAGCAGGATGCATGCCTGATAACGGAACCGAGCGCGGTCGAGAGTTCGTCCACGCTGTTATCGTCTTCGCGGGGAATTCACACAGGGGAGCTTGGAGTTGAAACGTTATTTGAGATAGAACGAGCAAGTAGTGTAGGACTAGACTGGGGGCGAGCGGTAGTAAGGTTCGTCCAGGAATGATCATGATGTACATCTCGAGGGCACGTTACATTTCGTTGAGGAACGCGTCAGGGGTGAGTGGGTGCGAAATCGCGAGAATGCGAGAGCCGAGTCTGGGAAGAGTCGAGCGTCGCGGGGAAGCTTGAGAGGGGTACTGGTACTATACTACATCGTGCGAAAGCAATAGGAGGCGGCGAAGGGACCAAGAAGAGACACACCCACGACTGAGGCCATCGCAACAACGCAGAGCCGGGTCTCGAGAGAGCGATGAGGTGGGAAGCGGGGCTCACGGCCCGTGGATATCGGTACAAATACAACGCGTGCACAGCGATGTGGGTCTGCCGCGCGTACGCCTACTACGTCCAATCGTAACTGAGGAGACAAACACAAAACCAAGGTGGAAGGAGAGCGAAACGACCGAGGCCGGCGCCCGTGGCGGGTGCTTACACCCTGAGGCCGGGGTCGGAGCCCTTTTCGTCGTAGTCCTCGTTGCGGACCTCGGCGGCCTGGTGTGCGATCTGCTGCAGCTTCACGACGTCGTCGCCGTCGAACAGCGCGGCGGTCTCCTCGAGCGTGCGGTTTTGGGTCTCGACGACGAAGAAGTACAGGAAGACGGTCTCGAACGCGAGCCAGCAGCAGTACACGATCTATTTCACATCAGGGGTCAGCACCCGAGCAGGGACAGGGGTTCCGTCAGAGCGAACGCGGGACACTCACGTAGTACTTCCAGCCAATGGCCTTGAGGGCGATGGGGTTGACGTACTGGTTGAAGATAAGAGCGACGGAGACCGTGAAGTTGAAAACGTTGTAGCCCTTCGCACGGAGCGAATACGGGAGAATCTCGAGTGTGTACGAGACGATGAGCGGCGTGAAGGCAAGACTGAAGGAGATGCGTCAGTAGCTCGTCAGCGGGTACAACAGTCGCTGGACGTACTCGTAGAAGGCGTAGAACAGGAAGATGAATGCGATGACAGCGTGAGCGGCAGCGTGCGTCCCGTGAAGTGCATACTGGGCCGAGCAGACCGTCTGGAGGGTGAAGAACAACGTCATACCAGCCGCAGACGTAAGGAACAGGAAGCGGCGGCCCCAGCGGTCGACCTGGAACGACGCGAACACGGCCCAGAACAAGTTCCAGATGGCGAGGATACCGGTGATGAGCAGCTGGGTGAGGTTGTCCGTGATGCCGATGGTGTCGAAGACCTGGTTGAGGTAGTAGGACACGAGACCGTTGCCGGACCACTGCGAGAACCACGCGATGGCCACAATGATGACCATACGCTTGCGGTTGCCACGGGTCGCGACGAGGGCCTTCCAGCCGACGCGGTTCTTGTCTGGAAAAAAGGACTGTAAGCGACTGCCTGCTGCCGATGACTCCCTCCGAAATACTGACTTTCCTGGTCCAACTTAATGGCGGCCTTGATCTCCTCGAACTCGTAGATGACGAGAGGATCCCTCTCATCGCCATCCGCATGGTAGTGAGCGAGGGTACGGAGAGCTTGAGTGTCCTTCCCTTTGCTGATCAGCCAACGCGGGGACTCGGGAACAAACCAGATGAGGAAGAACTGGAAGAACGACGGGATGGCCTGGAGGATGGAGGGGATACGCCATGCCCAGTCGTTGTGGATGCGAGCTGTACCGAACGAGGCCCAGGATGCGCTGTGCAGAAAGCCGAGATCAGCGAGATGAACGCCTCTTCGTGAGAAGCCATGACGTACACAATGTTACCTGAGTACCAGAGGGTGTTGTACAGTGACGACAACTGAGGACGGTACAGGGGGTACGAGACCTCCGTCACCAACATTGCAGCGGCGTTTGCTAAAATTAGAGTGGCAGGCGTGAGTACGAAGAACGTCAGGTGGAGCGCGGAGACTGACTTGCGATAGACAGACCAAAACCGAGGAGGAAACTGAATGGCTCTCTCAGATTAGGGCGTCTCGTGAGAAGTTCATGGGAGTGCTTACCGAGCGCCAATGAACTGGTGGATGTTCTGGCAGGCCGTCTGGAGAGCCGCGCCTGCCAACATGAACACGGCACCAATCCAGATGGAGGGCCGACGGCCGATACCGTCTGAAAGGTAAGGCGCGAAGGGGTAGCCGGCAAGGGATCCAATGTTCTAAGCAGTGGTTTGAGAACAGGCGTAAGGACAGAGGAACCAATCGACTACGCACTTGGATAGCGTTCAACAGACCGAGCGTGCCTCCTTGAGGATGGTTGAAGAAGGACTCCCATTGGTTCATAGATTGTAACGAATTCATCAAGGAACCGTCGAAACCATTCGTTGACGACGTGATGAGGCTAGGGACATGAATGTGGTGAGTTCCCTGGACAGTCTGGAGTAACGCAGAACTTACAGAAGGACGAGCCATGCATGGAGGGTAATGAGCCTACGGAGGTGTTGAGGTGAGCGCCCGCCCTTGGAGTAATGTCAGACATTGACGACGTACCTTCTGTTATTGTACCACTTCCTATTGGGGTCAATGAGGTGCATGAAGCCCGTAGGGGAGCTTGTGGTTACAACAGCACCGGGCGCCATGATGACGAGCTAGCGGGATGGACCTGAATGCCGCGAAGAGTGATGAGCTGGGAGAAGCTGAAGGAAGCGCGAAACGAGCGTGGAGGCTTTATACGAGCTGCGATCACGAAAAGAGGGAATGGAAGGGCCAGGTGACCGATGTTGACAGTCGACGTCGACGGTTTCTCCAGAGTTTCCCCAATTTCGCCGTCGGTTTGATGGTCCCGCACTCGCCCAGCCGATCCCATTGGCCCACGCCGGCCAGCCCCAGCTCTCGCCAGGCACATATCCACACGCCATCTAGATCCGGACAACCACCCATCCTCCATCACCTGCGGTCTGCCCTCCTCCAACGCCTCTTCTTCCGAGACTAAAAGCTAGTGCATATGTTCATTTCTCCTGAGCTTCCGCTTGACAGGCACCGCGCTGCTGGCTTCGCCGCTAGATTGAAAAATAAGCACTTGCCGAGACAGGCTCCTTCGTCTCAGGGAACTGACAAAAACATTCGTGCATGTCGAGGGGGCCCTGCTCGCGTTCATTGACCCGTTCGTTCCCAGCGGCAGCCACTAATCGTACAATGTACGTGTGATTCTTCGCAAGTACTCCGACACGGCCGGGGAGAACCCCTTGACCTCCGGCGTTATCATATGTGAGTTTGGAAGTACTCTTGAACGTTTGCATGAGACGTAAAACCATGACAGGAGGATGAAGTGTACCGCCGAGGCCTATGTAGTTGGAGACGAAACAAAACAGGATCCCGGACGGACCGCGAGTGCCGGCGCCAAAGCTACGAATGATCCCGCCTCCCAGATTCCCACAGTGCCAGTGCATGTTGCACAAAGTTTCATCTCCCCGCGGGGAATCAAGCTCATCCAGGCTCTCCCCGTGGCACCGTCTGACAGGCACAATCGTGTTTACATACTCCACACCCCGCAACAGAATCGATGCGCAGTCATTCACGGCGGCCTGCTGCGGACGGCTCTATTGTCGCATGAGCAGGAGAGAAGGGAGCGCGGACCGTCGGCATCATTGCCCCTCAAAAAGCCCCGTGCATGTCACCAACCGGCTTTTCTTTCCCCGCCACATCTCGCACATCGCAATCCGCGAAAGCTCGCATGGAGTACTGCGTCATTCGCAGCGAAAACCTGTGCTGTTGCGTGCGTGCACTATAACCTCCGAGGTTTCGAAGACACTCTCCCGTCCTGCCCGCCAAGGAGAAACAGCCTCAGGTCTGCGGCCACTCGTTGTCGATAAGACGGGCGGCCTGTCGTGATCTGCGCGGATTTGCTGGAGAAACTGGCTTGGCGCGCGCCCTTGCGCCACCGCGCTGATGTGCGTAATTACGGCAATATGTTCTGGCATGGCAAACCTGTCGCGAGGACTGTCGGGAGTGCGGTCGCAGCCGTGCTCGTGAGGATGAATGCGTTTGCAGTTGGCGGCCTTCGAAACTGAGGATATCTGGACGACCGTCACGCGCGGTGACTCTATTCAGGCGCAGATGTCGAAGTCGGTACGGGAAATTGGGGCGAAAGATCTGCGTACGCTCTGGGTAGCGGCGCGAGAAGCAGGCATGACGTCTTCTCTTGGTCCTCCAGAGCTACATAGCAGCTGGCAATTGCAACGGACGCGGACGCCAACATACTGCTGTCCCTGTAGCGATAAAACGGTGGTGACAAGGTGCCTACATAGTATCGCACGGTCTAACCTCGGGGTATTCACGACATCGCTCAAAGTGTAGCGCCGTGCGCCCAGGGTTTGTATACTCTGCCAATGCAGCTCGTACCACACTCAGACCTGCTCGCGACGTTTCAGTGGCACTTCAGGGAGTTTTCATGGGAATGTGGAAGGATCCACGGAATACGATTGAGGCCGGATTCGTTGGAGGCGTTATGTAGTAGCTAATGATTGGGCTGTAGGATCCGATGGTGAATTGTGTGAGAAGTCCCGAACAATTTGTAAGGCAAGACAAGTAGAGAGCAGCAACAGACAACAATGTACAGAAATGGTAAATGGAGAGGACAGCAAATGAGCGAGAATATCACGTCAGTGACGGGCTACGAGGCGAAACGAGTGTGTACACCGGCGATTATCATCAATGTATATGTCGCATGCGACACGCACGATGGACGATAGGGTAACAGCGGTCAGTTATGCTAGTCAGCCGCTTGCGTCGGCGACTCGGGGATAGGACTTGCGCCTCCTGGGGCGCGCCCGCCAGCGGTTCCCGCCGACTCGCTCTCCAGGATCTCGCTCCTCCTCCGTCGCCCAAATGATACTCCCCAGCTACTAGCGAGGCTCGCCAGACGACTGCTCGCCGTCACCCCAATCCCGACACCTGCAAGCGGACTCGAGGGGGTAGCAGTAGCGTTGGGAGACGACAGGCCGACGGTGGAGCTCCGGGAACTAGGGAGATGGTAAGAAGTCGTTCGCCGCCTGTGCGATTGCGTCAGCACGCTCGTCATACCAAGCGTCGGCGAGCCCTCGGGGGACGGGAGCGTCGAGGTGCCTAGGGTTCCGGGCATCTGCACGCCGGCGAGCGTGGTCTCGCTCGCACCAGAACCTGACCCCGATGAGGGCGTCGTTGACAACGTCGAGATGGCATGCTCGGAAATAGCGGTGGTCGGCACGGTCTTTGCCGCTGCGACACTTCCTGTCGTCGCGGTTCCGAACGGAATGCCCCTGGAGAAACGGGAGGAGGTAGAACCGGAGCCACGAGACGCGCGCGAAGTCGAGCGTAGAGGGGAAGGCTGGTTTGGGACATGATGGTTGACTGGTTGTGATCCGATTCCCGGAGTGGGGCTGAAGCTGGGACGCGTCGGGGAGGGGGAAGGCGCTGGAGATTGTGGCGGCGGTTCGGATGAAGTGTTAGCGGGTGGAGGAAGAGGCACGGTAGGCGACACGCTCCGAGGCAACTTCGGACTATGAATTTCGGGGTCTGGAGGTGTAGCAAATATTGTGGGCGAGGCATCGCGAGGAGGGGCTAGCGCGAGTGCCTCCTCAGAACTTCCCCTACCATCAGCCGATCCTGACCCCAGTCCGGGAGACGACGACGTGGGAGGCTCCGAGGGGCCAGCCTGCGCGAGAAGACGCGAGAGGGAAGATGGGCCCGCCGTGGGCGAGGATGCACTACGGTTTCGTGGGAATAGACGCGAGGTCGGCGGCCGAGTCGCACTGAACGACTCCTCAACCTCAGGTTCAGGAGGTCCGACCGGGATCGGGATCGCTTCTGTGGCTGGGGGGAGCTGGTTCGTCGGCTCCAAAGGGGCCTCTACCGTCGGGGCCTTCTTGGAAGATTCCCGACGTTTGGAAGGGAATGACGGCTGTGTCCAGTCCTCCACTTCGAGCATGTAATACTTGACGCCATCTCCTAGGCCGTAAGGATTGGTGTTCGGATCCTATATGTGGACGCCCGGAAGATAGTTTATGATAAGTCCCGGTAGGGCTCCCAGAAAGACAGACATGGAGGCCAAATATAGACGCCCATGTGAACGTACCTTGGAATCGACGACCCGCTCGGTGATGGACGTGATCCTGGCCACAATCCATTCCCGGGTCTTAAGCTGCTCTGCAAGATGCCCTGTCGCCTGGAGGAAGTAATGGGGGAAGGAAACTGCATGGGGCCCAGGCGGGCGGCGATAGAGGTGGCATGTCAAGGAGAAACATCGGACGTCAGTGCCTAAATTCACAATACCGATCAGACTCGCCAAAAGCCACAGACGGCTTACCGTTGAACGCCGCCCATGGCTTGGAAATAGAATTGCGCGTTGGAAGAAAGAGGGCTAGGTCTCCTTTGGCGAAGTTCCTGAACGAGATCTTCCCCTTGGCCCGCTCGCGGTAGTCCTTGCACTGTTTCTGCCACTTGCGTATCGTCGAGCCCGCCTTCGCAATAGCTTCGAGGAAATGGTCATGATCAAAAGCACGCAGCGCCTCCAGCGCGGCCACCGGGTCCGACGGGTCGATCGGTGCCGGCTCCCCAGAGTGCGCGACAATAGCATGGCGCGAATGGCTCAACGCAGAATCGCCAAGATTAGCGGCCGCAGCGCCTCTGCTCCCAGGGTGCGCAATCATAGCCTGCACATTCGACAACGCCTTCACATGCGCGTCGCGGAACGCGAGCGCAACGTCGAGCATCTGTGCGACCAGTCGCTCGCTCTGCTCGAGCTTGTGCTCAAAGTCAGCCTGAGACGCCCGGCCGGCCCGCAGATCTTCCCGGACGGTCCGCTCGTCCCGCCGTGCGTCCCTCAGCTCGTGCTCGACGCGCTGCAGCTCCTCCCTCAAGCCAACTGCGTCCGCGTTCGCCATCTCCGCCTGGGCGCGGGCGTCCTTGAGATGTCGCTCCGCGTCCTCGAGCGCCGCGCGGAGCTCCGAGAACTGGTGCTCGAGCACCGCACGGTCGCCGTCCGCCTCCGCAATGTGGTCGCGCAGAAGCCGGTCGTGTTCCGACGCCTGCGCCCTCAGCAACCGGTCCTTCTCTTTGGCCGCTTCGACGAGCGCACGCTTCACGTCATCGCTCTCCCCGCGCGCAGCTTGAATTTGTGCTTCCAGGTCTTCGCCTCGCGCCCGGGCCTCCTCGAGTCGCCGGAGCGTCTTGGCCTGCTCCTCGAGCAGTAGCGAGATCTTCCCGGCGTTGGTAGACTCTAATGCTTTGACGGCCTCGAACTCGTCCTTGACTTGAGCGAGCTGCTGGCGGAGCAACTCTGCGGATCGGGTCTGCTCGGTCGCTTCGGAGAGAGCGCGTGAGAGGGCCTCACGCTTGGCGTCAGCCTCCTTCGACATCTCACTATTCCGCTCGTCAAGTATTCGTCGTGACGTCGCCTCACTCTCCAACTGGGCACGAGTTGCGTGCAAGTCCCGTTCAAGTTGGCCACGCGCAGTCTCGGACATCTGTAGTGAGTCGCGGAGCTCAGCGAGTTCAGCTTCTAGGGCGGCGCGGCTTTGTCGATGTACAGCGTCCTGCTCGTCCTTCTGCTGATGTAGCTCTTGTAGCTGGATCTGCAGCTCGGCGTAGGCTTGTTCGTCCTCGGTAGCTGTCGTGCTTCGCGTCAGCAGCAATTCTTCTGATAGGCACCGTATACGCACTCCTCCGCCGATGGCTCAGTAACCGTGACGTTGAAAGCACTGTCATAGCATATGTCAGCGCCGAGCGCGGAAATGCCGAAGCCCACGTACGGCTTCTCTCGGCGATCCTATCGAAGCCGGACTCGAGGCTGTCCATCTTGCCTATGAGCTTATCAAGCTTCGACCGAGTTTCCTGCACCGACGCCTCGGCAGCGGGATCTTTGGCGTCCCTCGCGAACCGTTCGAGATCGTCGAGCACGCGCAAGAATTCTGTAAAGTGGGACGCCACAGTGAGATCGACATGTGGATACATATCACGACAGCACACCCTGACCGTCAATGTCCACACGCTCTAGGGTGTATGGAAAGTCGTTCGAGCCGCTAGGCGAGAAGTCGATGTTTGGTACTGCGTCGTCGATGGCTTTGACTTCAAAGGGGAGCTCGCCTTGCACTTCATTCTTGTACGCTTGTCGGCGTTTGCGTTCGTTAGAGCTGGTGGCAAGTGCGAGATCAAAATGTCGTAACACAGACCAGATGCTGTCCAACTCACGAGAGCTTGGCCATGACTTCCAGGATACTCTGTGCTCGCTGATAGAAGAAGCGCGCTGCGAATCTGTCAGCGTGATCCCCGTGGACCCTTGTACGACTTACCGAACTCCTTCCTTCGGACGATCTCGACGATTGTAGCTCCATAGGCGTACAACATACTGTGTAGCCGAGCGATGTGCGAGAAGCTCGTCTTCGCCCTGAAGCTTGCTTGGAGCGCAGACATCGCAGATGGTATCGCGACGATGTCCGTGTTCAGCTCGCTGATCCGCCGGATAGTGTACATGCATTGCTCCGTGTACACGTTCTGCGACCATGTCAGTAACCTGCGAGACGGTTTCACACCGCACAGAGACCTGCCTTGATGTCGGCAATGCGCTCTACTTCTATCCGAAGTGCATCGTCAAGCTGACGGAATTCTGTCGCTTCGTGAGCCCTCCGCCGTGTATTCTGTAGTAGAAGCATAACGCACCTTGCAAAGCCTTCTCTGGAGCGACCCCTGGTCCTTCGCGGTGTCAGCACATCTCAGCCCCAAACCTGGAAGCACCCTCCCTGCTCACTCTCGACAGAAGCATTAAGTGTGGATATCTTTTCCCAGAGCTCCTGTGCGCGCCGTGCGCACGCCTCCCCGTCCTCTATCGAACTGAAGCCCATCGATGTCCTGCCACGTCCCACGAAACAGAGCTCCCTTACCTGTTGTTCCCAACCGCATGCCTGACCTCGTCCCCTCCCCGACTCAGCCGAGCCATCGCCTCCTGCACGTCCTCGAAGCGTGCCTTCAGCTCCTCGTGCGTCTTCACGCAGCTTGCCGCCACCTGCTGCATCTTCACCCTGCTCACATAGTCGCCCAGCGTCCGGCCCTTATCCCCCGCCTCCATCGCCCTCCTCACCGCCGCGCTCAGGAACTCCTTGTGCACCCGAACGCGGCTCACGATCTCCAGGTCGGCTTCTAGCCCCCCGAGCAGCTTCGCCTGCCTGTCTAGCTCGCGCTCGGCGATGCCCGCGAGGGCCTCGAAGGTGTCCGAAATCGCAAGCACGTGGTGGTCGAGCGCGCTGGAGGAGATCTGGAGTGCGCGCTGTTGGTAGTGGAGGGAGGTGAGCGTGCGGTTGATGTGCTCGACGTGCGCCAGCGCGGCTTGGACGTAGCTGCTCGCGAGCTGAGATATCCGGAATGGGGGCGTTGAAGCTATCGCGTCTGCATGGGAGATGAGTGCTGCGCCGCGGGACCTACCTCGACCGACACACCTTCCACGAGGGGTTGCAGCTGGGGTTCGTAGTGGAGATCGTGTAGGACTTGTTCTAGGTCGGAGCTGAGGTACGTCTTGTTAAAGACGTAGACAGTCTGGCACAATGTGAGTGCTTGCAAGGCATAAATAGTCTAAGGGCCCACCTGATCTTCCAATCCTGCAAGCTCACGGACGTTGTCAGCCTTGAGTGGCCTTCCGTCAGAGAGGTACGCCCATATGGCTTCTGGTGGTACCCCCGTCTTCTCGTAGATAAAATGGTCCAAACTATCCAACCTGCTGCCATTCAGGACTTGCAAACATGAAGCGCATATAGGGACGTATACCTCTCGAGGTCCCAGAGCGAGGTGTCCAGTTCGACCACCACACCGTCCTCTGCCCGACATAGTTGGATCATAGTGTATAGTTTGCCAGGTCAGGTAGCATGTTCCGTCTCCAGTAGTCTTATGAGATACAAGGAGCTGCGCTAGGGCAAGGGGCGGCAGGAGCTGGTAATACCAGTGGTAACGGTGCTGAAGCCGCTTGCCGCGCTGCATCTCGCGCTTGCCTGTGTAGCGCCCGGCGCTCGTTCGCTCTCGCTCCATCCCGCCGTGCCTACTCCCATCATCTCCTCGTACCTCCTCCATCTGATCCCGTTCCTCTTGCTTACTTACTCCTACTCCTTGCTTGCTCATTCCCATCACCTGGACCATGCGTTCACCGACTGTCATTACTCATGGACTCAACTTCTCGGTAATCCCTGTTACTCGGGCGTCTCGTACGTATCGTATTTATACCCGACCTCGTACTCTCGTTACGGTAGCGTACTCTAGACGGAATCAAGAGTCTTTGAACTGTCTAGTCTCAGCGCTCTCGTGTCGCGTGTCCCCTTCCTAATCCGGAATCGCCCACGCGACAGCCTGTTTCCCCCCTCCTACAGAAGCGCCGCCAAAAACTTCGGACGACAACATATCCTCGACAGCCTCAATGTAACAACCTTACTCTTGCGTAAATAGTTTCAGGAGGACGATGCGCAGGGCACGGTGCTAGTTTCAAGTTGGCCACTCGTATATCGGACGTTCCACCCGCTTTCGGTCGATTTCATGCCATCTTGTGCATCCATCGCACATATATTCTTGGACACCACATGGAGATACCTGGAAGGCTCGCTGGAAGCCGTTGGCGGATGTGACGGAGGGAATATGGTGCAGAAGAGGTCCATCGTGTACGTATTCTCCATTCTGCGAAGGGTTCTGACGCATGTCTAGTATACCACTCTGTCGTATATCGTCAAATCCAATAGGCGTGTTCAATTCTTGTCGCTCGCTCATATCCTCGCGCGCCTACCGGGCGTCTGCCTATCTGGATTCAAGGTCAGATCAAGCGCCTGTAGCACAGCCGCACAGGCAGCGGTGCAGCGAGATCGACGTTTTTGTCCTACTATGCTAGGTTTGTTATGCCCAGAAAATCTGTCCAGAAAGTGGATGGAGACGTCGGCAGATCGTTATAGACTTGTTGACCGAGAATAATTGTACACAATGCGCCCAAATCGGAACCAGATTCGGCACGACACGGTTCACTGGCCACCTGGGGTTGCCACTGTAAGCCTGATGGCAATTGGACTCAAAACCTTGCGGGGCGACTCCGCGTCTCGAGTCATGGAGCTCTCTATCTTTCAAATCGTTAAGCTTTCGCGTCGCTCCTCAGTCCCAGCTCGCGACGCTCATGCGGTCGTGTTGCACCCGCTGCCTGCGCACCTCTGCTCGCTGTGCTACAGGCGCTTGATCTGACCTTGAATCCAGGTAGGCAGACGCCCGGTAGGCGCGCGAGGAAATGAGCGAGCGACAAGAATTGAACACGCCTAATGCATCTTTGCTATGAAACGTGTCACATAAGTCCACTGCACGCCTAAAAACCATCGAAATCGTATCAATTGCCAAATTGTAGTATTCTACAAGCTCTCATTTGCAGCTCCAATCTATCCACCTCGCCTGTTCCTCCCTCCTACTCAGCAGTGCTAGTGACTACCCGATGCCTTGCAAGACCACGGAGACTATGGA